AATTTCTTTTCTTCTCTGCCTTTTATTCGTTATTTTCTTTTCTTCACTTCTTTTTTTTTTGTTATTGTCGCGCCGTTTTGTATTGAATTTTCCACAATTTTTGCCACGCCGCGCGCGCTTCACATTTACGATCTGTCCGCAAATTTTCCGTGTACGATTTTCAAGCAATGTCCTATGGTACTGCAGCCACACACGAAGAGAGGGAAGGAGATGTAGTCTGTTTCCATTTCCCCATTGGTTTGTTGAGTTTGTCGAGCAATTTGTTTGACTGACTGAATTTGCTGCTCTACGTTTGACTGGCAGTTAATTTCATTTCGTCTCTTTGATTACATTTTCATTTCGCGTCCGGAAAAACAAATTTGTTAACTTAATTAGGTGCAGTTGTTTTGTTGCTTTTCTTTTTCATTGCTGACGTTTTGTTATATTTCGATTCTTTCGCATCAATTTTCGCGTGCGTATCGAAGCTCTGGTTTATCTGTATTATTATTATATATGTATATATATGTATATCTTTTTTAATTTAACGCGCGACGCACGTCCCGTTCGTTCGACGTCAGAGCAACAACAGTCGAAATAACATTAAATTATACAGGTCTATGTTATGCTCAAAATGGCACTGTTAAGCTTGCACACTGTTAGAGCAGTGTGGCCAAGTGCAGCTTGTGAGCCTCTATAAAATATACCAAACAAAATTTAATGATTATTTTATTTTTATAATTTAAAATATTATATATTAAAAAAAAAAGAGTGAAATATTTAAGCCTTTACATTTTAATAATATTGCAATTGTATTGTATTCAACTTATTTATTGTTTATTTTTCCTCTATACAAGTTATAAACTTTTATTTAATGTTAATTTGTTTAGAAAAACTGTACAAATTGTCATTGATTTTAGAAGATGCAACGGTTATCACAGTAAAAACAAAAGACTTGTATATGCATTTAAATTAAATTAAGCAAAAATTATTCGATTTTACAGCTAGAATTTGCACTATTTTTAGTTTTTCTTCTTCTTCTTTTCGGGCTGACCCAAGCCCTGTGATTCCTGATATTGGCGCACGATCTGCTCCTGTACATCGGGCAGGCATGGTGAGTAGCGGGAATACTCCATGGTGAATTCGCCCTTGCCCTGAGTGCTAGATCTGAGAAGAGAAGAAAGGGAGAGTTATTTATCAGTTAGAAGCATTATCCAGGATTAGCTTCACTTAGTTACCTCAGCTCGCTGGCATAGCCAAACATGTCGTTGAGCGGCACCTCGGCATAGACGGTGAACCAGCCCTCGGTGCCTTCTGTGCCGGTGATGATACCGTGGCGCTTGCTCAGATGGCCCATGACGGCGCCCTGGAACTCCTCGGGTGCCGTCACCTCGACCAGCATAATGGGCTCCAGAATTTGCCAGGCGCCGTTCTGGAAGACTTCTTTGACGGCTCCGTGGGCAGCCAACATAAATGCCAGCTCACTGGAGTCAACAATGTGATGGCCGCCATCCTGCAGACGGAATCGAATGCCCGACAACTTGTGACCGGACAACATGCCGCGCTCGCACATCTCACGGTAGCCCTTCTCCACGCCGGGCACGAACTGCTTCGGCACATTGGTGCCCACCGTTTCGTCCACGAACTCAAGCAATGTGTTCTGAGAGGGAGGCAGTGGTTCCATGACGCCAATGATGCGGGCATACTGACCCGAGCCGCCCGACTGCTTCTTATGCAGGTAATCGAATTCACACGGCCCGACGAGCGTTTCTCGGAACGCCACCTTCGGCTTGCCCAGTGTCACGGGGCAGCCATATTCGCGCTCCATGCGCTGGGCATAGATCTCCAAATGCAACTCGCCCATCCCTGAGACGAGCGTTTCCTTGATATCATTGTCGAACTTGAAATGGAAGGTGGGATCCTCCTTGGTGAAGCGAGCAATAGCCTTGGAGAAATTATCCCGATCCTTGGTGTTGTTGGGTTTGATGGCCATGGACACAACCGGTTCGGGCACAAATATCGACTCCATGGACATATTGTTCTTGGGATTGGTTGTGAAGGTGTCGCCTGAGGCGCAATCAACACCAAAGAGTGCGAAGATGTCGCCGGCAAAGACCTCGTTGACGTCTTCCATTTGGTTGGAGTGCAGCCGGACTAGTCGGGCGATGCGCACCTTCTTGTGGTTGCGGGCATTGTAGATATTGTCGCCCTTGCGGAGCGCGCCCTGGTAGCAGCGCAAATAGGTCAATTGGCCAAAGCGACCGGCTTCCAGCTTGAAGGCCAATCCCATGAACGGATCCTTTCCATCTCGCGCCGGATTAAGGACGATTTGTTGCTTCTCCTGGCCCTCCTGTTCGATGTACGCGAGATTCTCAACCTCGCCTGGATTGGGCAGATAGTCAACGACCGCATCGAGAAGCGGCTGCACGCCCTTGTTTTTCAGAGCCGTGCCCACCAGGACGGGCGTAAAGGTGCGCTTGATGCAGGTGCGTCGCAGCGCCGCTTTGATGTCCGCCTCCGTGAAGGGCTTCTCTTCCAGAAAGAGTTCGCCCAGAGTTTCGTCTGCGTTGGACAGATGCTCAATAAGCTCCTGCCGCCGCTCCTGACTCTCGACGCGCATATCCTGCGGGATCTCGTCCAGGCGCAAATTAATGCCGTGCTCGCCCTCGAAGTATATGGCGCGCTCTTGCACGAGATCCACAATACCTTTGCAGTTGTTCTCCACACCAATGGGCAGTTGTATGAACGCGGCATTGTGGTTCAGCTTGGAACGCATCTGCGAGAGCACTCGATAGGGATTTGAGCCCATGCGATCTAGTTTGTTGATGAAAGCCAGACATGGCACATTGTAGCGCTTCATTTGCCTGTTCACCGTCAACGTTTGACTCTGAACACCACCCACGGCACAGAGCACGAGCACAGCGCCGTCGAGGACGCGCAGCGCACGCTCCACCTCGACCGTAAAGTCCACGTGACCGGGCGTATCGATGATGTTGATGTTTACATCCTTCCACACCGTGTATGTGGCTGCCGATTGAATGGTGATGCCACGTTGACGCTCCAGCTCCATGCTATCCATTGTCGCGCCCACATTGTCCTTGCCCCGCACCTCGTGCATTTCAGCAATGCGGCCCGTATAGAATAGAATGCGTTCCGTGAGCGTTGTCTTTCCGCTGTCTATGTGCGCCGAGATGCCAATGTTGCGGATGCGCTCGATGGGCTTATGCTCTGCGTATTTAGCATGTGAGCTATAGCCGCATTGCAGCTGAAAATGCATTACAAATTCAAATTACATAATGAGCCGATTCAACAAATTAGAGAAATTATAATATACCAATTATAATACATACCTGACGAGCGGCTTTTAATGTGCTAAGACGCAGCGGCAGGTTGCCATTTAGCACACGTGTAATTAGCGTCATTTTTAAGGCGTTTTTATTAATAAAATAGTAAATTTTACTAAAAACACGCGCTCAGTGCCGCACCAACAACAGCTGGTCGAGGTAAGAGTGAAGAGTGCTGATGAACAGCGCGGATAACAGTGCTGGTAAGTAGCACTATATCGATAGTACTGTTATCGATTAGACATATTAAATACTTTAAAATTCAGTTAATAAATTTGAGCGTTAACACAATAAGATTTAAGTAAATGTTTTAAAGCAATATAGTAAAGTATTATTCTTAAACGGGGAAATTTAGATTTCTAAAAAATAATATTACTTAAAATAAGTATAGTGAGTATATAATTCTATTATATTAATCTTAAGCATTTGAATTGCATTAAGCTTATAAAAGACAAATTAGCTCATGACTTGAATAAAGGAAATGCACAGAATTTTCTGAAATGTCAAAGTAGCCAAAAATCTGAAAAGCATGCTAAAAAGTTTCTATAAGATTTAATATCTTGAAAATTAATTAAGTTCGCCCCAAACACAGCTGAAAGACTCCCCTTAAAATTAGGTCATGCGGAAATAGTCGCATTGATAATTGCCACAGCTGCAAAAATCAGCTGTAGAATTCGCCTAAAGCTCAGCTGACATATTCGCCTTTAAATTTGTTTATGTCTACAATTACCTGCAGGCTGCAGCTAATTGATTCGCTCCGAAATCAGCTGAAAGCTTCGCCTTAACAAGGCACAGCTGAAATATTCGCTCTAAGCTCAGCTGAAAGATTCGCTGTGAAATCAGCTTCAAAGTGTGCCTGGAATTCGCTGCAATTGAAAAATGGCTTTTATTAAAAAAAGCTATTAAATATGTATATTGCGCGACTTAAAAAGTTCATTGAAACACATTTAAAATATTTATTATTCAATTCCAGGAGATCAAAATGTTTTTTGTTTTTGCTTGTTTTTGCTTTGTGTGTTGATGTGTTACAATAATTAAATTAAGTGTGGATATGTCTCTTGGTTTGCTGCATCTTTGTGCCATGTAACGCACAGTGATTTGAAGAGGGAGACGGTAACGGTAACGCTGCCTTGTACATAAATAGATACATATATAATACTATTAATACACATATAAATAATTTCTTATTTTTTTACAATAAATATAATTTTTTATTATTATTTGTATGCCCCTTTCTGGATAACTAAATCATCGACTCAAACGGACGTTTCTGTTGATGTATGATATCCATGCCACAGTGGCTTCGTCGTATCAAATTTTCGGTTCTGTAAAAACGAAATGCGGGAATTAATAAACGCGAAACAAAGCCACGATCAAAGATCTATGGAGTTCTGCCAGCATACCTAGGACACAGACATTAAAATACAAGATTGTTAACGAGCATTTGAATGGGTTAGTGTTTAGACATCAACACGATGCAAATGATGTTTAATTGATTGATTGACTGATTGATAGATGCTTTGATACGTTTTAGATGGGAGCAGGCAGACACGAAATCTTATTGAGTGCTCTATTTAGTAGTATGTATTGATGTATGTACAATGTGCCACACTGAGAACTATGCACAAAATACACTGAAACAAGAGGAGACTAGGGCGCACAAAATGAAACATACAGATATATAATTTATACTTTTATTCAATATTTATAGGTAGATCAATAGATATAGATTTAATGTGTGTTTCAGAACTTAGTATAAATTGCAAAAATTATAATACATTTGTATACAGTTGTTGTTGCTTATGCTTTTGATATTATTATTTATTTTAATTTTTTTTTCTAAATTTGTTTATGTGGCTAAATGTTTTCAAGACGGCTTTTCACTGATTTCCCAATTTACGTACACCAAAAAATCCGCACCCTACAATAAGATCACAGCTTATCTAACCCATGTAATATCAAATTTTAAACAAGCCCGCCATGTTCTGTTTCTCTATGTGTGTGTGGGTGTGTCAAATTAAGATCAAACATAAAAGGAACCATATTTTTGTATAGAGTAGATAATTGTTTGAGGAGAGTTTATGTTGCTTTGAATTGACACTGGTTTGGTATGAAATCTGTTATAAAATTGCTGTTATAAAAGTGTTATACATATAACATACATACATAGGCATGTTTCTTTGGAATGCGTATGCTATATACTCCTGAGCCACATTTGTTTTTTTTTTTTTTTGAATAATACTTCTAAAATTGTTTAAGCTCAGCTCAAATTCTATGCCAAATGAGTGCTGTGAATATTTGTTTGTCTCTTTAGGCTGATAGTAAATTCTACAAACTTTGTCAAAAATCACTACGATTAATTTGTATATATGTATATAATATATATATCTATTTCTGTTTGCTTTTTATGATACTGATATTCGACATTCACACTCTCGGACGATCTAGGTCGACTTTGTGCACTTGTTCTACGCATTGTGAGTTCGCAGCGAACGAAAGAGTTCGCTTAGGTAGTTTGGTATATAATTTGGATAATGCCCCATAAATGAGGCCCACTTAGACGGGTGTTATGTTCGCTGGACTTTGGGTGGTAACAACGGCACCTTCGAGCTTGGCAGCCGCCTCCTTGCAATTGCTTGGCTGTTGTTGTTGTTGTTGTTGTTGCTGATTGGCTGGCAGCATTTGGTTGTTTGTCATCTTGTTAGCGGAGCTTTCATTATACTCATCGGCCTCGTGCATGGGCGATAGGCGTGGCGAAAGGGCAGCATTGGTTGAGGAACTGAGGAGCATGGTCGAATGCAAATGAATGATATTTATATATATGTATATATATATATATATGTATGTGTGTTTATATAAGTTTGTTATAAATGTGTTTAGCTTGGCCTCTAACTGACTCGACTAGCCGCAAAAACGACTCAAATTGGGGTTCTTGGGCTCGCCTGCTTGATTGGGTGCTCTGTAACTACTCGGATACACTTACTGGTTGCCATTGATATGACGCACTTTAACGGTAACGGGTATGATCAGCTGCTCGGAGGTGCCGTCCTTGTTGATCTGCTGCCAGACTGTGGTGCGATTCACGTCCGTTGGCGCACCGCTCGCAGCAGTGCTGCCCATTTTGTTGCTGCCACTGTTGCCCGTTAACGGTATGTGTATGGTTGTGGCAGCCGAGCCAGAGCCAGAGCCAGAGCCAGTGCCAGCGTTGCCACTCTTCATATTATAGGCAACATTTCCAGCTGAGCCGGCGGGCGGCTGATGATGATTGTCCTTCAATAGAAGACATTCATAGGCATGGTTTTTGTTTGTTTGTTTTCGATTTTGTTTTCCACAGCTCATAAATGTATTACAGTGAAAGAGATAAAAAGTGAAGGTGGGGAGAGAGAGATAGAGATAGGAATCCCTCCGTGTCTTAGATATATAGTGAGTGAAAGTGTTTTCTTTCTAAGAGCCAATGCGGTGTTTTATGTTGTTCAGCTATAAATTTAGATTGCATTTTCTCTCTTTTTGTTTTGCCAAATACTTTTATTTTTTTCTCTACAATTTATTTAATTTTTTTTGGTTGCCAATTTTTTTTTTTTTTTTTTTTTTTTTAATTTGCTATTGTTAGTTACTTGTACTATGGTTTGTTGTGGACTATAAAATTATTTAACATGTACATTGAATACATTTACACCGTGTAAACGCATTTAGCTCCAACTACTTAAGCTTAGGTTTCATTAACATATACAGATATATATATATATATAGATAGTATTGATATAAATACAATATAGTTAAGAGTAGTATATTGGTATATATATAGAGTAAGTAAAGATAACACATTTCATAATTGAATAGTTATGCATTGGGAAATAATAGAATTTCAGAAAGCATATACAGATGGGCTTAGTTCAATTATGTTTGGATTTCATTGCAATATCATAGTATTAATTGAGCAATTTGATAGAAAACAAAGACAATAGGAATTAAAAAAGTAAATAGAAAGTACTTTGTAAGAGAAAACAGATATTTTTAAAGTATATATAACAAAATGCAAAAATTTGCATGCTACGATTTAGGGATAAAAATTAAGGCAAAAATTTACAAAATACTGTTAAAGAACAAACACAACAGAATGTCTTCACTCGTAGCTCGATACGAATGAAAATATGGTAAAAATAGATATGGATATAAGTATATATATATAAATAGTAAGAAGTAATCAACTTTTATACAACAAAATGCAAAAATCTCTAAAAATAATTTCCATTATAGAATACCAACAAATTAGATACATATCAAGTGGGATCCGTGGTGGACTGTGCAGCACTGCAAACGCAAACGAAATGGGCAGCACTGTCGGGTGTCGAGTGTTTTAGATCGGTCGATCCGGTTTCAATTTGTGATGTGTTGTGTGCTGTGTGTGCTTGTGTGTGTGCTTGTGTGCCAAATTCAAGGTGTGCCCCGTCTACTTCTTGAGCAAACTACTCTGTGCCTCAAACTCCTTCTCATTTGCATTTGAGGTATTGCACTTGATCAGGGCGACGGCATTGGCGCCGACGTCCATGCCACCATCGAGGGTGCTCTTCGGTTCGCGCTTGCCGCGACCCCCGAAGCAGGGTAAATATTTCTGACAAAAGCCCACCTCAGCGTCCAGTTGATGCAGATCGTCCGCCGCAGCGCGCTTCGTCATCTCGGGCATAATATCATCGAGGATTTTCAGTTCACGGCGGGTGAAGACAAAATCTAGGGACTTGCGTATGCCAATCATCACCACCAACATCAGTGGGAAGAGTATGGAGGTCTGGGAGAAACTCTTGATCAGCCACAGGATAATCAGGCAGGCCAACTGTATGGCAGTAAACAAATGTACGCGCTTGATGGGCACCTGCGGGAGTGTTCAAAGAGGAGGATTGAGAATGGGTTTCTAAGAGATATTGTTGAGTCTAAGCTCTTACCTGACGCAGGAACATGTAGTCCGGCTGATATTTGGCTGGCATGAACATAATGAGAATGCGATCGAAGAACTGCAGACCCTTGAGCGAGGCCACGCCCATATAGAGAAAGACGCCAAACAGCACCGGCATGGGAATGTGTCTGAGCTGCGGTGTCAACAGCACCGAACCGCCAATTGTCAGGAAGATCATAATGTGAGTCACACGCTGCTCGCGCACACCCAAGAACTGCGGCTTCTCGCCAGGGGCACTACACTCCGATTCCAGTTTCAGTGAATTGACATGATTAATGCTCAGCACAGTGGCCGCCACGAACCTATCGATAGGGGAGTCCAGATTAGACCAATGTCTAATGCCCAGAGTCAGCGATCTCTGATGACTTACCATGGCAGACCCATCACACTGCAGATGGCTATCAGGCCGGAGAGTACAAAGAGATCCAAGTGATAGCCGCAGCCCTTCTTTAATTTGTTCTCCTTGCGATTGATAATCACGGCCGTGATTTGCTGATCCATGAAGATGAGAATGGTGCCGAGCATTGCTGGGAACACGGCTATGATTGCTGACCACCAGGGATTCTTCTCGCAGAATGGGGGAATCAGCCAGCCACGCGTATTCAGTGTCGGCTTCAGCTCGCGGGGCACCTCCAGCTTCTGTGTGGGCACACCCAGCGAGTAGTCAAACAAGGTCATCGAGAAAATGGCAATCAGAACAGAGAAGTCGCTAATGTACTGTCGCACAATGGAGGGGAAGAAGAGGGCATTCTTGAATTCCTTGAGTACGGTCGAGAAGATGAAGGTGCCAGCACACAGGACAACGGACATGAGGAAGACATTTTCGGTGGGTGGAGTACCGCAGTCGGTGCCAATGAGTGTACCATTGTAGAGCTACCAGAGAACAAGAGAGAGAGAGAGAGAGAGAGAGAGGTGATAGGGGGAGGGGGATATTAGAAGATTATTGTAATAAATATAAGCTATTCCCACACTTACCTCACATGCATCCCATTTGTACTTGGCAAACTCGAGCACGCTGGCATTGCTCTCCGGCGGCGCAGTACAGATGCAGTCGTAAATGCCTTGATTTACCGGGAAGGTCTTACCAATCATCACCACGTTCTCGATGGCCTTGTAGATGAAGATGACCGCGATTAGGGTGGCAAAGTTCTCCTCAGTGAAGCGCGTTATGTAGCAGACGAGCGCGCTGGCATCGATTGCGACCAACACGATGCAAATGCCGGCGACCCACATGCCGATCCAGAAACGGAATGTCATATAGTCCCAGCCCTGGGCCATCGAGAACTCATAGACAATGGACTCGAAGACCAGCACTGGACCGGTCGAGCCCAAGATTGTCAACGGCTGGCCCGAAAAGAAGCCATAGCCCATGCCGCAGACGAATCCAGATACCAGCGATTCCATGGCAGCCATGTTCTTGCCTGTGGCCTCCGACAGCAGGCCGCCGAAGGTGATGATCGGGGAGAGGCATGCGAAATACAAGAAGATCCACGAGGCGACGCACTGCATAGAGAGCGCATCGCGAAAATCGCTCCAGTACCAAGGCGCCTTGCGCTTAAAATCGTTGATCAAACCGCCGAAGAGACGACCCGAGCGTGACAGGCCCGACTCTTCGCGCAATCGTTGCTCCTCCTCCTCCTCGTCGATCTCCTCCTTAGGCAGCTCGGGCGGCCGCTTGCGGATCTCCTGCGATGGTATTGCCGCTGGTGGCTCAATGCGTATGGTGGGATCCCATTCACCGGGTGGTAATACTGTGACCGCATCCAAAAACTCATCCACTCCGGCGAGCAGATGATCGCGTTTACGTGCCCTGTAGGCCACCTCATGGAAGATCTCGTCGGACATCAGTGTGGCCATAGCACGTCCGATCTCATGGAAATTACTCTGGCTGCCCGGTGGACCCAGCAGTATGAAAATGAATCTGAACAGGAATTGATGGAGAACTCGAAATGAATCAGCTAATCGAAAAACTGAGTTTGTCTTGGGCAACCCACCTGGTTGGCACCGGCACCTCCGTCAGATCACCCATGACAGCCGCCTGGCTCAGACGGATGAAACAGGAGAGTGTGCGCTCCAGGAAGTCCACCTCGCCCACTAGAATGTTGCTCGCCTCCGCTCCAGGCGGTATCTTGCGCATGAAGTGCGAGTTGCCCTTGTGTTGCTGCTCGGCCAGCTCCGTGCCGCTGGCCTGCCTGGCCATCGAGTGGCTGCTGGGGCTCTTCACCATGTCCTCTGTGATCATGGGCAGATTTTGTTGGGGCCGCAGATTTATGGAATTTGATTTTTTCTCTACATTAGTCAAAGTCGGCAGCGCACGAAACGTGGGTGTGTGCGTAAGTGTGTGTGTGTGTGTGTTGGTTGGTTGGTTGGTTGGTTCGGTTCGGTGTTTGGAGTGTGTGCGAGTTGTTGGCAGAGTTGTGTAATTTGTTTATTTCATATTTAGGCATTACAACAACGGCAACGACAACAACAACAACAACAGAAAATCATACAAAAAAAAAAAAAAAAATAGAATTGCGAAAAGTTTAATTTATAAATTTTCATTCAGGATAAATAACAGAAATGATGAAACAGCATGCAGAAAACGGTATTGGTGTGGGTGATACGCGTGCATATGTGTGTGTGTGTGTTGTTTCTTTATATGTAGGTATACATCAAGTTCTCACATACTCAGAGTTATTAGAAAACTGTTGTAGGTTCCAATGTAGATTCAGCCAAGGCGCATGCAAAATTTTCTTTCATTTCGATTTCTTGATTTTCTTGAGGTATATTTTTTTCTGTGACTACCAAATTAAGAAACTAAATTTGGGGCTCGAGTTGCAATTAAATTCTCTATAAGATCAACAAAAAAACAGACACGCAAAGGAAATAACGGCAACGATAACGATAACAATAACGATAACTTTTGTTTGTTGCTAGTTGGGTAGATTTGTGATAGTTGTTCTTTGTTTGGTTCTTTACCGAGCGTTCTGTTGCTGGGCTTGCCGGGCACCGTTAAAAACCGCCCCATGCCCATGCCCAGGGCACCGGTACTGCCATTGGTATTGCCAGGTGGTCCAGGCTCGCTGGCGGTCAGCGAGAGCGGCGTAGTCGCCATTAAATTGCTCCCAGACTGCTCTTCAACTGTAAATTGTTTTTGTTTTTTATGTGGTTTAAAAATGTAGTAAAATATTACACAAAAAAAAAACAAAAAATATAAATCAAAACGCAAGGGCAAATCAAAAAGATTTCTAAGAATCTCGCGTTAGGTCGACTGCATCATATTCAAATATATTTTGATCTTAATGGAACCCAGTATTATTAGATAGTGTAGATCTAACTGGAACCCAGTATTATACGAGTATATAGTGTGTGAGTGAGACAGCACAAAAAGAATTTTAAGAGAAGTCAAAAGGGGTTTCGAAAGCTCAACTTTGATCTCAAAGCGAGTTGGAATATTTTGCATAAGAGAGATAGAGAAATAGAGAGTGTGTGTGAGAGAGAGAGAGAGAGAGACAGTCTGATATACTATTTCAACTAGTTTAAAGTATAGATCTGTAAGTACAGCGTGCTATGGTTGGTACATGTTACGCAAAGAAGTAAAACCATACAAAGAGTTTTGAATAGATCGTTTTAGGCTTTTACTTGGCAATTGGCTGATCGCTGGCTGCTGCGCTGATTGTCCTTGTTGGCTAGATGGGGCATGCGAAGGCGAGGCACCCGCATGAAACCAGGTGGTAACGCCAATAGCGCCCATGTCGGCTAACGTATGATGGGAGCGTAAAAGTCGAAAGAGCAAGATAGCGAGAGCGAGAGAGTGAGAGCGAGAGCGAGCGATGGTTAGAAGTTGAATTTAGCAAATGGCAAATACACAACGCTGCTTGACGTCTTACTTAAACTAGTGTGCGTGTGGGTGATTGAGTGATTGACAGAATGATGGATGGATGTATGGTAATACGAGATGCATTAGCTGATGGCTGATGATAATGCTTATCATAGTCAAAGTGCATTAAGCTGGCATTGATACGATCCTACTGCGAAGTAGAGTTTCTATTCAGGACCGGAGTTACGAGACGGCTATGTGCGTGCTCTCTATACAGCTGTTGTGGATCTGGAGCATTTGGCGGTGCATTGAAAGCAACTGTAACTTGTTTTTTTTTTTTTTTTTGTGGTTTGACTTGGTTTGGTTAATTGTGAGATACCTGTGGGAACAGCGAGATAACAACCACGCTGATCCTTACTGGACACATAGATGGGCGTCACGGGCGAACGGCATACGTCCATGCCAAAACCAGGCGACGAGGCATGCCCAGTCGGAGCTAAGCAACCGCAATTCAGTTATTGGCGGGCATTATTTAAGTGAATGTTGGTTTTTAGTAGGCGAAAATCGACTCATGACTCATGATGATGATGCGCAACAAACGAACGAGATGAACTTAGAGTAATCTGATCTTGAGCACTTGAGCGTACCCAGAAAGAGAGAGAGAGAAAGAGGGAGATACTCACTTTTTGAGGACGACTGATTGCGCATGTCCGCCAGGGAGCGAATGATGGGCAATCGCGTCTTCTTCGCATACTCGTGCTGATGGCGATGTCGACGCAGCAGGGCGTCCTTCACCTTGTCCTTGACGTTGGCCGGCAGTGTGCCGCTGCTGACCATCTGATCGCAGACGAGATCGGCCACCAGCTCCAGATTGCTGGCCTCCATGTCCAGCATGACGGTGCCGTTGGTCAGCAGGCCGCGCAGCTCGAACAGGGCGTGCAGCGAGAGCGTGGCCACATGGGGCTTGGACCAGCGATTGCCACCCTCCTCGACATCCTCCTCGAATTTGATCCAGCGTGCCGTTTCCTTCCACTCAATCTCATCGCCCTCCTTCACCAGCATCCCCATCTCCGAGAACAGCGGATGCGACACATGCGAGCCATCGTCCACATCCTCGCCGAGTATGAATTGTACGCGTTGTGCTGGCGGCGTCGCTGCAGGTGGAATTGAAGAATGCAATTAGTTTTGCTTAACTGTTTATGGCACTCAAGGAGTCGGCCATGGCGCTGAGCTCAACCCGTCTAATTGGCCTACATAAGCAGGGGCCATGCATTAGGGAATTGTTCCCGACCAGTTGGCCTATGGCCAGTTAGTTGTGGGTTAGTTGGGTATGGTTTACGTGCTTTAAAATGATGTAGGCTAAGCCTGTCATAAGGGGTTTTGATGTGGTTTAATGAACAGCGAAAGTTGGCTTATTTAGCCATGATAGATCTTTAATGAATTCCTATAGGAAGCATGAGCTTGAAGTTTTCGATTATTTTTATTGGAATTTTATCTTTTACGCCTGTTTCATAAACCTTGAATTAAACTGCTTGTCAAAATTAACTTCTTGTTAACTTTCAGTATTATAAATGAGCATATCAGCTAGGCATATTTAATCACGATAGACCATACATGAATTCCAAAAAGAAACCTGAGCTGGAATTTCTACAGGCCTTAGACTATTTCAATGGAAATTCCATTATTAAACCATAATTATTTAGCAATGAATCGAACTGTTTGAAAACAAACTTTACTTGTTAACTTTCTGTGTTATTAATGAGCACATACACCTGGCATATTTAGTCATAGAGGAATTCCAATAAGAAACCTGAGCTGGAAGCCTTTCAGGCCTTAGAATATTTTAATTGAAATTCCATTACTAAATAATAATTACATAACTTTGAATCGAACTTCCTGATAAAATGTACCTAATTGTCAAAATCTTGTTAACTTGCAGTATTATTAAAGAACATATAAAATTGACATATACAAGATTTTCGATCAAAAAACCTGAGCTGGTAGTCCTTCAGCCCTTAGACTATTTCATTTGAAATTCGATTCAAGCTATAGCATATCAGTCATATTGATCGATTTAACATCTTGTTAACTTTTCATCAAACAATCAACAATTTTAAACGTTTCCTTAAGTAATTAAATTATGATAAATTTGTAAATGGAAGTTCTTAGAATATTTCAATTGGAATGGGTTTCAATTGTTTTATGTGTGCTACTTAAACTTTGAATTTATCTCCTTGACAAATTTCAATGATTGCTAACTTCTTGTTACCTTTCTCTGCTATTTACGAATTGTCTGTCTAAATAAATTTCACATGCTAGACTTACATGCTGAGCACCCGGAGTGCCCTTTGGAGTGTTTACGTGCTTATTCTTGAAGCATATTTAGACAGCAGCACGTACCTAGTTACAAGCTCATAAACAAGTTTGTATCTTTAGAATGAACCATAAACGCTTATCATAAACCTGAAGCAGAATTTTCGCTCATAAAATGAAAGGCTAACATATTAGCAATAGAGATATGCTTAAGAGGAAAACATTTTTAGCAAATGTGAATATTAAGTGAGACATATTCGCACCACATTAAATCTAGATAGATCTAGAATTATATTTCCATGAAATTTATTATTCCTCACAATGCGACCAAAGGAAAACTAGGCTCAAGCGATTTCTTGTTTTAGTTGAAAACTAAGTATATCTTTGTTATTTGTCATGTCATAGCTGATGACTGTAGACTACACAACGAAAGTCACGTTGCGTATTATCAACTCCAAAAGACTTTCGATAAGATTTCACAGGCGCAAAATGATTCACGGCAAATCCCATTAGATATTGCAACATTCTCGATAACTTAAATGACTTAAAATATATATTCAATATACTTATGGAGCTATATGATAGGAAATCGTTTTATGTTTGGTCATCTTCCACTCCTACAATTGCTCATTTATTAAATATATAGTTCACATTCATTTCAATGCAGCTCATCAGGCTCGTCTGCTGGCCCAGTGGTTGCACAGGCAACTCTGATTTGTTGGATGACCGTAATTGTGCATCCTGCTGACGGAGTCGGTGGCTGCTCTGTAATTTGCTATAATTCGGACGCTGTCACATTGATTGGTCACATCCCACCTCGCATGTCTAACTCGTATTTTATACTTTATACAGATAGGGAGAGATAGAGAGGGAGAGACTTGGGGGCTGTGTGGCACCCACCTGGACGCTCCACTTCCAGTTGCTTGTCGCTAATGCTGTCTCTGCCAACGCTGCCGGCGGACGCAGCGCCGGTGCTGCCGCCATGGTGATGCTTGCGACGGCGCTGCGAGTGGCGTCGTCCTCCCGGCACGTGGACGCCCACGTAAACGGTGTGTGCGCGGTGTCCTGCAGGTGCGTGGATACAAATTCAATGCGGAGCTTAATTGATTGCTAAACCAACACGAGAACATCAACAGCAATAACAACAACAACAACAACAACAACAAAAGAGAGAAATCAAATAACATGCATAATTCCATTTAGCTGGCATCACCCAGGGAAATCTATTGGAAAATGTGTAAAATTTTGCGTTGTTTACAAAAAAAGAAAATAAATAGAAATAAATATAAACTAACTGTAGATTCTATGGTTGATAACAACTGATGACAAGCTGATAATTTGTGTCATTCTGGCGAGAGTAGTTAGTTAGTATATACGATGCGCTGACTCAGCTGCCTTTCAGGTCTGCCTAATTGCAGCTAAATAATATATGTACATTGCTTGTTTCCAGTTCTTTATAGTAGTACTACGTGCTAGTCATAAATTCAGTCCTATGACAATTTTCATTACGACTTCGGCAAACGTCGCTCGTCTGTCGTTTGCTCGACTAATTGTGAGATCATCTGTGCGGCTGTATCTCGGTTTGATCATAATTTCAATTAATTATATGTAACCATGTTTCGGGCTGATAGATATGTATACATATGCATATATTCGAATATATACATCTACATATGTATATCAAGGTCTAGTGGGCGTTTTTATGCATTTCGCTTGCGAATACAGTGAAGATTGCTTACAGGAAACGCTGGGCAAACTGATCAGATTAACGACTATGCACTAGCAGAGTGTAAGAAGCGGTTCAAACTAGAATAATGTGGAGCGCGTGTGAAGGTGAAAGAATAGAGTGTGATTGTGTGTGGAATGTGAGGATAATGAGTGAGGGTTAAAAATCTGTTTAGTATATATAAATTAATTGTGTAGATGAAGAAATTTTAAAATAAACAAAATATAAAAGCATTCTAATTTACAATAATTGTTTATGCAGTTGCTTAAAGCATTCGATGCTTAGTCAACTAAAGCAGATAATATTTAAAAACGTATTGTATAATAAACCCTACTTAGGCTTAGGACTTTTAATGAGTTCAAAGCTTATTTTGGCCGTAAATAGATACTTCAAGTAAATTCCCAGCACATAACTCTCAAATATATCCCAGCTTCTATTTTATTTGTATTCCCTATTTACCACGAAATTCCAAGTTCATTTAAGTTTAATCATTACCAATTTATACACCTCACTCCTAACTCAAATCCCATTGAGCTGTATAAAGAATTTCATATAATAGTTTACCATCTAATTGAATTTGCTATCTTAGTCCCATAATATTTATATATATACTATCGTACTTTTTATTTTTTATTATACTTTCAAGTTGAACCAGATTCACTAATTTATTCTTCCTGTAATTTTTAAACGTTTTTATATGGTTAAGTACATAACTAAAATCAAAGTATCTTAAGTCTTACAAAATTGCTTGTCGTAAAATCAGTTCTAGTCAAATAAATATTTTAAGTATTTGAAACATGTCCACACATGAACACTCAATTATTCATCTTTCGTTATGGATCAGTTGAATCACGTTTCAAATTGAGTAATTTATACGTTTAAGCACAAAGTGTTTTTTAATAGTCATTAATGACACTTGGAAAAAACTAGTTTACATAAATTAGAAAAAATATATTCGAAAATGAAAAGTTGGAATAAACATAAAATAAATATTCACTGATATAGAATTTATTGTCTTCTGTCTCTCACATTAAATGCGCATCATCGCGATTTAGCCCTTACCCTGTCTGGTATGTTTTGCTTGCAAATCTAAATATATTTACTTAAAGTTTGTGAATTGGTTTCGTAATACGATGACCTTCAGCTGACGACGACGCCAAATGCGCGGGCGTGTCTGGAATCGTTTAACGAGCAAACTTTGCATGCGAAAAATCGGCCAACAGGTCGTGTTGACAACAACATTCCAATGCATTGCGTATACGCAACGTTGTGCACTTTGAATCGTTCACTCACCTTCGAAATCGTTTTCTGTAAATTGCTGAGTAAAGTCCTCGCCGCCAGTGCGCGGATCCTTGGGCGCCTCATCGTCACCACTCGAGGAGTTCATGTTCCAGGGCCTAAAAAAACAAAACCAAAAATCAAAAGCAATTAGTCTTTATAATCTTAATTGCGTTTTACATGAACAAATTTGATCAAATTGTTAACTCTTGCCCTTTAATGACTACAAAGAAATATTTTATAATAAAGAATTATATATATAAAGTCGTGAACGTCATTTACAATAATTGCACTAAACTGTTTATACTGAGGCCAAAAACCTGAGCACCCACTCAAAAAATCCCCTACAAATAATTCGAACAAAAATCAACGAAAAACCTGATTTGAATGCGTCAAGTTGACTCAAATTAAAGCTCTTTTAGCTTACAAATTGGAACAGCTGCTCAAGATTGCAGATAATTGTGAATAGCAAGATGAATCAAGTACTTTCTGTAAATGGGGCCTCGTAATGGGTCCTTAACATGGTAGCTCAGGTGAGACATTGAGGATGACTTTGTTGTCTCAATGGAATGGAATTGGAATATTCGTGAATAGAATAAATTGACAGCTTAATATATGCAGTTCGAACCACTACATTTATTTAGTAGTCTATCGCCCAGAGGGCATATACTGCTTATAATTTCATATGAGTATTATTTAAGACATCTTAATATGTTTATAATCTTAGTCCACACTTAACCTGATATTTCATATTAATGGTTAAAGATAGCTAATCAATGCAATCACGCTTGGCAGGAACATTTTCAAAACTTGGTAGAATTCAAAAACAACGATTTATAATATAATATTTATTTAACACTTTAAAAATGTCTTCCATTAATAAATTTTATGAATTTTTAGATAATTTCTATCTAATATAATAAATATTATTCTGTTCTTGATTAAAATACTTAATAATCTCTTTTTAAAAAATAATAATAATATATTCTAATAATAATAATAATAATAATAATAATAATAATAATAATAATAATGATAATATTTTAATATTTTTATTTATTTATTTTTTAATACCTATTTATAAATAAATATTTATTCAATCATATATTTCCTAGCTTTAAAATCAAGAACCAAATCAACTTCCACTGACGTCTTGGAAATTATTCTTGACATTCGATAAATTAATTAATAATTAATCAAAAAGATTTTTGGTACGCATTGTCATTTATAATTCTGCTTAAAAATGTTTCTTTTGTTTATGAAAATTATGAACATTAATTGTACATGATAATTAATTAATTGTACTCGGTTAATCGCCAAATGAAGTTAACACAAAAGTGTTAATGACCAAACTTATTTATAGATGAGCAAATCAAATCAACATTCGATCAGACTCTACTAAGAAGAGTATTTGGACTATGCTCATGCAATGTTTTTGTTTTTTTTTATTTATAGCTTAAATTTATGTGCTGTCTCATGTTTCGATTCAGCAATTGTTGAATAAATATTTACATTTAGCTCTTACGGTTTGATATTCTGTTTCAAAGTCATTATTATACATATTTCAAATACAATTGCAGGTTTGGCCAATATATACTACATTGAGTTGTTATAGAATAATGTCAGCACCTCAAAACTATAACAAATTTAATCACGAATTATTCAACAAGTTTCTATGACGGAATACAAATATGCACTATGAGATACCCTGTTGGAATTTTAATTTTCAATAATCAAATATCTAATATAATTCAGTTTAAGTTATGTATTCATTGACAACTTTATATGTACTATATATTGTTGGATTTCTCAATTGATGCTTTATAGACGCGTTAATGCGTGCTCTAATAATGGTTTGCATAACTTTTTTATACACCTTGTGTGGTGCGTGTGTCTCATATATAGAAATATATATGTATATATAGCCAATAAGTATTTTATAAACTTTAACATCTTGAGTCAACATCGGCATTATCAACCATCAAAAAAGCTTATCTTTTTATATATGTATACATAGTCGTATATACGAATCTATGTGTACACAAAAGTCAACTTATATGTATAATATAGCCAGTCCAACTGATAGACAGACCCTCCGACTTGTCTGGTTGTTTCAGCTGGGGCGATCTCAGCTAACATGAAACCATTTTCCACTGTTCCAGGCGTAACTCTTTATCAATGTTAAGTGACTCACATAGCGCCGGTTCGAAAGAATCATAATGAAAGATATGCACATATGTCTTTAGGCCTTTTATAAGAAAATGTGAGACAAGTGTTTAATTAAACTTTATGAAACGACTCTTAAACACAGAGATAATATTATATAAATAAAGCCAAGAACTTGTTCTGTCTGTGCCCTTGTGAGATAAGCGTGCCAATGAGACACATTGAGTGGCCCATCAGCCGATTTCGATACACGTTTCGGATTCAAGAAAAGTGTATTGGTTTATTACAAGGTTCTTAATTATTTGGCGTAATAATGTGTGGCTCTATTGAATTTAGAGATACGGGTTATCAGATATCGTATTCAAGTTAATTTGTCATATCCATATGCATATCTATCGCTTGTTTATCATTAATGAAATTTAATACATGCTGTATATACAACATTTAATTATCTCTTCAAAAACCGATCTAAAAATACGTTCAATTCACACGAATCGAATAATTTGATGTCTCTTAACAGATTTAGCCGGAAGTAACTTATGCAGCCATTCACACCTGATTGCAAAATTTGCACGAGATTTAATTTTTGGTTTTTAGCTTGGAGTACTTTGGACTCGAATCGTTAGTCCAGTTTTTAATTTGATCACATCGGATCTGGATAGCCTGTAACACTTTTTACTTACGTTGAATTTCCATTATTGTGAGCCATAACTTTTTGGGGCCCACTAAAAAAACACTTGTGACGAACGCGATTCGCTGATCGAATTGCGCTTTCGATTTATCACACGTCGAGCCAAGTAGGCGATAGGCGGGGACGATAGGCGCGGAGCGTGTATTAACACCAAGGTTCGATTAGAGGGTCTGTTATTACGTTCTTCGTACGGGTGTTTATGCTGTGTTTAGCACGCGATTCTACCGACTCGCCTCGAGCCCGGACGATTGCAGACTAAATACTAACTGGCCGATCTTCAAAGCGAAGCAGCGTCACCGTTTAACCCGCTGCTAGGCCTGCTTCTGCTGCTGCTGCTGCTGCAACGATTAGCGCCGGCAGCGGCGTCGACGATGCCAGCAATGCACAGTGTATGATAATCAGATTTCAGTGAATTGGTTTCGGGATATATAATTTCTTTTTATTTGTTTATTTATTATATTTATATATTTATTTTGTTATTTTATTTATTAAAATTATTATATATTTGATTGATATATTATTATATACAAATATTTTTTTTTTTTTAATTAAAATTTTTATTTTTATTCTATGTTTGGTTTATATATATAATTGTTATTTATTTTCATTATTATTTATCATTTTAAGTATTATTAGTATTATATTTAGTATTAGTATTAGTTTGAATTTAGATATAGCTTTAATTCAAGTCAATAATATATTTAATTATCATACAAAATATATTATAATTTTCTTTTAACATTCGGGTTTAAGCTAGTACTTTTTTTTTATACAAAGTCACATAAATATTCGAAGCAAAAAATAAATAATAGATTAAGTTTACAATTATTAGCTAAATAAATTGACTTTCTAATCTTTTAATAATATCTTACTTAATTTTGTATAGCTTCATTAAATCCATTTCTAGTAGCTTAATTTTCATCTACTATAAATAACATTTGTCACACTGTGCGCTCGCCGCAGCTGGGAGAGTGACAACGCGAGAGCATTCGGCAGAGCGTAACACAATATATTATTTAATCCCACAGGCTTCTGACTAAATGTGTTTTTAAACGCTGATTATCATTCTTGACCTTATCGATATTCGCCGTTTGAGCCCTTATCGCCAGGAACCGTCCGCACTGCCATCGAGCCGACCGGCGCTTATCAGTTCTTACTTTTCTTTACAAGTTGTTTACCTAACTTGCAAATAGTTTTTTTTTTGTGCTTTGCTTTGATTTGGTTTTACGTTTTTCATTACAGTATTCTCCGAGGTGTTTATATATATATATACATATATATGTTTTTTTTTATTATTTTTTTTTTTTTAAGCTATGATTGCATTCTATATCAAAGAGCACAGACGAAACTGGTTACAGCCGCCGCATACCAATTTTTTGTAAATACATGGTTAATAATAAATATAAATTTGTTGTTTTGTGTGCGATTCGTTGAATCCGTCTATTTCATTTCAGCCAAATTGTTTTTAATTTATACGTATTTAATTATGGAGCCTGACAAATGCATGAATATTGACTATATATGTATTTTTCACTGGATAAAAATAATAGTAATATTATTATTCACATAATAAAGATATTTTGTGTTTATTATTTTCTCCTGCACTCTTGCAAATGCTTTGAAGCATTTAATTATTTGTATTTTAATGAATATGTATTTCAATTTGAATGGAAATTGTGCATAATTAAGCAGTTCGCTATCAAAATTTTCAGAAAAACTCTATTAAATTTTGTTTGTTTGAAAATACAATTAATGTTGATGACAAGGCAAGCAATTCTGTTTTGTTTAATTGGAAGAGTGTACGGCAAATAATTGTTGAATATGAAAAAAGCCTAAAATGAGATTTTGAAAATGTATAATTGCTTGGGTTTTTGGTCCAATTTCGTTTACTACAGAATTAATAAAAAAATGTATGCTTTAACCAAAAAAGCTTTAGATATTTTCATAATTTCGAGCTATTTAAAGTTTAGAAGATGTTAATAAAAGTTTATAAAAATATATTTTAATTTGAGTTCACTTTACATCAATAAAAAATTTAATGTGTATTGCGTGATAATTTTTAAATGAATGTGAAAAGTATGAGGCTGTATTTGGCTTTACTTGAGTTTAGTTTTGCATTACATTTATTTGATTGTTCGGTAAAACATTTTTTTTTTTAATTTTTAATTATTTTCTTTATTTATTTATTTATTTTTTTTAATTTACCATAAAATAAGGATGTTTTATCTAGCTTCTGAGCTATAAATATGGGAAATTATAAAA